TAACAAACACTGTTACCGAAATCAATAAAACCTTGAACAAATAACAAATATTAATAACAATAAAAATAATAATAGTAATATTAATAACAATGACAATACTAAAAAGTTATACACGTTTCAAAGTCACACGAGACAAAATAGTTTTCAATTACACAGCAAAAAAAAGTGCAAAACTTTGAGACGCCACATAACATTTGCACCACTGACCACTGTTTTTCTCAAGTTAACGCTTAAAAGGCAATCAAAACAACGTCCACAAAAAAAATACGTCAATACAAAAAGAAAAAAAAAAAACTATCAGTCAAAAAGCAAAAAAAATTGAAGGGTTATAGGAAAATGACGAAAAAAAACATCGCGAACCACAGCATCGTTGAATCCAACGATTTTTGTCATGTGTTAACGAACAAAAACAGCAACCACACCCCCTTTGCCTCCCCAAAAAAACCGCAACATCCGACACCGCCAGCAAACTACCACAATTAACAACCCCAACCAAATAAAATATCCGCCAACTTTATTCAACTTCAAATAAAACGGTAAATGTACATAATAAAATCATTCTCAATCAACTTTTTTATTTGCTAAAAACCGAGAAATTATCAAAAATATTTGAAACAAAGGAAAAAGAGGTTTAAAAATTTGGTATTCGACGAATGTGCACACATTTACGTTCCTGAAAAAACTTCAGTAATTAAATTCCTCTTTCTATCCCCTCTCAAAAAACACCTACGCCTCTAAAACATCCACGTGCAGTAAAGATTTCTTGAAAAAACTGAAAAACAACCAAGCACCTAAGAAAGTACTTTACCGTAAAAAATATTCAAAAAAAGGATAATACTACTTCGCTGGTAAAGATAACGAAAGCCGTATTTAACTTTTCGCGTTTAAATTCCAGTTCCGGCACAAAGCCGCAATAGTAACTGCAGTAGAAACTGTAACAGTAATGACAGTAACAATAAGAATTTACATGTACAAATATATCTGTTACAAATACAAATATAAATAT